AGTTTATTCTCTAGAAGTCTCTGAAGAACCAGGCGGACATGTCTCTTATGTTCAGATAGATTCTTGGAGTAGATCAGGATATCATCAATGTATACAAATACAAACACATTGAGAAAGTCTCTGAGGACGTCGTTCACTAGGGCCTGAAAACATGCGGGGGCATTTGTTAAGCCGAAAGGCATGACCAAATACTCGAACTGGCCCAAAGGAGTCTTAAATGCCGTTTTCCATTCATCTCCTTCACGTATCCTAAGGAGATGATAGGCATTTCTTATATCGAGCTTTGTGAAAACGGTAGCTCCTTGTACAGGCTCAAAGGCTGAGGCGAGAAGAGGAAGAGGATATTTGTTTTTGATAGTGATTTGGTTCAGGCCTCTATAATCTATACAGGGTCTCAAAGAACCATCCTTTTTTCCAACAAAGAAAAATCCTGCGCCAACGGGGATGAAGAAGGGCGAATAATTCCTGCAGCTAGCGACTTGTTAATGTATTTTTCCATTGTTTCACGTTCTGGTTTGGAAATGTTATAAAGTCTACTGCTGGGTAACGGAGCACCGGGTAATAACTCGATGGCACAGTCGTATGGTCTGTGTGGTGGAAGGGACGAAGCACTGACCTTACTGAAAACAGGAGCCAAATCATGGTAATCAGGGGGTACCGGAGTAAGGTAAGGGACGTCCATCTCCCCCCCACCTCTAGGGGACCCCACAGCGGGAGCTGCAGAACGGAGGCAGGTCTCGTGACACAATGTGGACCAGGACTCCACATGACGATCGGCCCAATTAATATGGGGATTATGCTTCTCCAGCCATTCATAACCCAGTACGAGTGGGGAACATGCGGATGAAAAAACAAAGAAGGTTATGGACTCTCGATGGTTACCTGAGATTAGAAGTTCAAGGGGTTGAGTTTGGTGGGTGACTTGATGAAGTTTTTTCCCATCAATCGCAGAGACTCTGAGAGGCTGGGTTAAAGGAACCGTAGCAATTTGGAGCTGTTGGACGAGATCAGAGTCTATTAAATTACGTTCACATCCAGAATCAATGAAGGCTGAAAGAGAGAGGCTCTGGTCGAGGAAAAACAACGTGGCAGGAAGCAAAAGACGAGGAGGTTTTTCATTTTCTTCATGGCCCGTCAGACTCCTCAAAACCTCTGACGGGCCCCGGCTTTTGATCTTTCTGGACAGGAAGCAATGAAGTGTCCACTCTCACCACAATAAATGCAAAGTCTGCCCAAAAGTCTCCTTTGCCTTTCCTCAGGAGACAACCTTGTGTGTCCAACCTGCATCGGCTCCATCTCAGTTTCTCCAGGATGAGTAGCCTGAACAGGCAAAGGGAGAGGCTGGCTCTTTGGCTTTGGTCTGGATAACTGTTCTGTGGGGGCAGAAACAACAGTCACGTTATTAGAGGCGGGGGCAGAGGAAAATAACGCCAAACTCTTATGTTTGCGGCTGTTTCTGGCCCGAATCCGGTTGTCCAGTTTTATAGTTAATTGGATTAGTTCTTCGAGTGTAGCCGGTTCATCGCGGGTAGCCAACTCATCCTTAATATTTTCGTTTAATGCCTCGAAATAAGCACTCTTTTATGCACCCTGGTTCCATCCGGAAGCAGCTGCTTTAACCCGGAAATTTATAGAAAATTCGGCCACAGAAGAATTTCCCTGTTTTAAATGAAGCAGTGCTCGAGAATCAAGGGTTTGGTCAGTGTCTTGGTTGAATACCTGGGAAAATTCAGAAACGAAATCTGAATAGTGACAGCTTAAGCTTTCATCTGAGGCAAATCTGGCTTGAGCCCAAGCCAGAGCTCTTCCTGTTAACTGGGAAAGGATAAACGTTATTTTCTTGTGGTCCGTGGGAAAACTGGCAGGAGAGTTCTGAAAAATGAGACGACATTGAAATAAAAATCCCTTACAATCAGTTACGTTACCAGAAAACTTCTCTGGGAGACTTGGGCGGAACTCGGATGATGTCACAGCCGGTGACCTCGGCGGAGGAACTGGACCCGGAAATGGTTGGGTAACTGGAGCGGGATTAGCATTACCCACGTAATTAGCGTAGTTTTGAAGCATATGATTATGCATATCAACCAGACGGTAGAACTCACGGAGGGTCTGAGTTTGTCCTTGTATTTGGACATCTTGTTCTTGCAATCGGCGGAGGAGATCATCTGCTGGGCCTTGTGTTTGGCCGCAGTGTTCTGTCATGATGGGTATCAGGGAGGCCCAATATGCAGAACACTGACGACACGGATGGAAAGTTTAACAGAGTTTATTGGCAAATTCACACATATAATAAAGACTGATGCAATGGTTCTGGGCTGGGACCGGTTCACTGGCGTCTGTGAGAAAGACAGTTTGGTTAGCGAAGGCTTGGTTGAGACTTGACTGATTGTGTTCAGGTTTGTACCTTGATGAACGTAGAGGAGGCTTTGGGAGCGGAACTGTTGGGTCCGGAGAAAGCTTGGGTTGGCAGAGTCCTTAAGCTGTTTCAGCGTCTTACTTCTAAAGGCTGTTTTGACCTTGGCTTGTGTTTCCAGCTCGGTATCCAGAGCTGCTAGGAAATCCAGAGAGTGAGTCTTCAGGTTTGGCTCGGAGGGCTGGCTCGGCAGGTTAAGCTCTTCCAGAGCTTCACAGGAGAAAGAACAGGAAACCAACTGATTAAGACACTGCGGCGTCGAGGCAAGGTCTGAAGGCAGCTTAAGTAGTCCAGGTCCTCCAGATGAGATCATCAGCTGCAGGTGTGCAGAGCAGCTCAGCAGGGAGGATCCAGGGCGGACTCTGCTGGAGAAAAGGTGTATTTCTCCAGCTCCCAACACTCTGTTATTTGAGAGTGATTCATAGGAGAGATACCCTAACCTCTGTTTCCCAAGCCATATAGCGTTTAGGGGATCTTTAGGTGTTCCTCGGCAAGAAACCATATTAACATCCTTGTTTTGGTTTTCCTCTTTACCAATATAAATTGAAACTCCACCATATTAGTGTGGTTTGTTCCAACCAAAAGGTTGGTTAGACACATCTGCTCTAATATAGTAATGTATTTCTTTGTTCATGATGCATATGTCCTGATCATTAAGGTGAATGTTGGAATGTAGATAAACAATAAATGTTGGATTCTGGCTTAGCTCCTGCTTCACCAAATCTCCATTCCATCCATTTTCCTGCTCCATGTGCAATCACTTGTGAAAGATTGTGGGTAGGAATTGTTCACATGAACTTAGTTCTGTTTTATTGAGTTACTCTAAGTAAAAAAGGAGCAGTTTTACTGCAATCTACTTTTGACTCATGCTTTAGTAAAATGCTATTGTACTCCAAACTTCAGTTATGTCCTCTAACAAAACAAAACAAAACAAATATGTTATTAGAAAAGAAAAACGGACACAAACCTAAAGTTAACTAAAAATTCCTTTTTTTAAAACATGCTTCCATGTTTTGAGACCATTTTCCTTTACTCGCAGAACCAAATATGGAGATCTAGTTAGTGTGCTGTAAAATCTACATATTGTATGGATGATATTATGTTTAGTCATTTACATTTATTTGAATACATTTTAGCAAAATTTTACTTTTATTAGTTGTACTGAACAAAACTTTTACTTTTACTTAAGGGTAAATAAGAATCTTATGTGGGTATAACTATCTTTAGTTAAGTAACATTTGGGTTACTCTACCAACCACAAATAACTTGAACTATTTGGAGATCATGTGAATATACAGTAAACAGTAGATATTGTAGCTGTAAAAATAAATCTTATAGGTGATGTTTGTATTTTATAATCATTTATTTTAATAGCTTGAAATACATAACTCTGTGTCTAATTACATTATTATGGAGCCTAGGCGGAAATTCAACTGAAGAAACTCTGGTTTTTCATACATCCACCTGCATCACAGCCAATCAGCTTTGAACCACACCTCCATGAAAGCCAATCGGCATCCAAAGCTGCATGCACTACGTGACTTCATTCAGATGACACCGTTTCAACCCACCTCCAGCCCCTCCTCCACCTTCTTGGCTAAAGCTTCATCAGAGTGTCTTTCCTCCTGGACTCTTACTGCATTCTCTGTCTCATCTCAACCGGTCCAGCAGAAGACCGCCATGTTGAGCCTGGTTCTGCCAGAGGTTTCTTCCCAACGGGGAGTTTTTCCTCCCCACTGTTACTTCATGCTTGCTCATCATGGACAGGTTCTATCAACCTGTGCTATCAAAATGGACTTCCATCTTCCAGGTTCCACTGGATCTCCCCATAAAGCTCAGCAGACCGTCTCGCTAACCAGCTGTCTACAGACTGACCAACATCATTTCCACTCCACCACCAGTTTCAGGCCTGGGGGGGAAACAGCACTATTCTTTGCTCCTGTTCATGCATATCTATCAAAATTAAGCGCTCTGTTTCCTGCCGAGGTCTGAGCGCCAAAGACAAAGTAATTGTATCTATAAATTTCTCCTTATTGTCTTTTCTCCTTATGTGACTTTTTCAGATTGAATTGATTATTAAACAAGATATTGTGAGCCAACAACAACACAGTCATTCAGTTGACATTTTAGCAGGAAATTTTTACCCTTACTTTTAAATATCTTTTAAAATTTTAAAAGACTATTTTTTACTTCTACTTGCGAAAGAACTGTTAAAGAAATATTCAAGTAGTACTACTAGGAGTTATAGTACTGACTTTAAACTGTTCAAATATGTATAGGCTAATATATAATTTGTTCTAATTTACATATAACATGTTTTTGCTTGTCTGAGTGTAATACTTATATATTTAACTGTATTTTAACAGGTGCATTACAGCACCAAATGTCCTGTCGCTAAATTTATAGGCCATACAAGCCATATGGGTTTTGTGAGGCTACAGTAAAAATAATAACCCATAAATAACCTGGGTACAGTATATCAAGCATCCGTTTGGCGGCCACATCGCGCACAAATGCTGCCACCTGTTTCCAGCGCTCTCCTCTCCATCCAATGAGGAGGGAGCGGCGGTCTGGAGGCGGAGAAAGGACGCTGAGAAGTTGGAGGAGAGAGTGAGAGACAGAAACGGAGAGACGGGGAGCTGGGGATTGAGTGTCATAATCGCGGTTGTCACATATTTAATCACTGACTTTACTGCTCATCTTTGGATTGTTAAATCACACCCAGGCGACTTTCCTCCATCGCTTTCTCTCCTTTTATTTTGCGCATTTTGTTGACGCGCAGCCACAGGTTGGCATATTTTAATCCAGTGGATTATTCCTCCTCATCATCTTCTCCCAGAGCCTGGATGGAAATGGGAACCGTCGATACATCTGCGATGAACGGTTTGGGGGGAACAAAGTGAACATTCAAAGTAAGAAGGAGGAGAGAGGAGGCATCCGTTTATTGAAACGACGCGCAAATTGTGTTTTTCTCTTTTTGTGACGCGAGGACCTGTGGAGGAGCTGAAAGGAGACGAAAGGTGGAAAAAAAATAGATTAAGGGATGGCAGTGACAACATGAGAAAGAAAAAGTGTGGTGGTCTTGTTTTTCTACCAGCCACTGACTGAACGCACCTAACCTGGGGGGCAAGGATCGTGGGAGAAGAGGTCGGAGGTAGGTGAGGGGTGGGGGGGTGCTGAAGGTATCTGTTATATCACCCTGAAAATAGGTTATTGCTTTTTGATCAATCGGTAGCAGCTGATCGCAGCCAACTTATAGTTAACAAAGCCATCTTTGCAGCCACGCTTCTTCTGCAAGGCAAATTGACAGATGGGAAATTGTTATCCTCAGAGTCTCTGAGCTTGATTTCATTTTCATGGGGGTAAAGCCAGAGGATTTTCATCCCCCTCCTGCTCCTGGCTAACAACAACAATGTAACACAAATTACATTTTAAGGGAGAGATTGCTGGGAGAGCTGTGGGAAGTGAGAGAAGGAGACAGAGGGATGAAAGGGTGGTTGGCTAGGCAGCTGACTCAAATGTGACTCAAGGAAGAACATTTCCTCCAAATTATGACAGCTTCTCTGCACTCTGTTGACCCTCTTTGTCACACACACACCCAACATGTTGTCCCCGTTCGTTTTGACCTCTGTCCAACCCTTTTATGTTTTCTTCTGTTACATGAAAAAATAAATGTGTAATCACTATCTCTCTGTGTTTCTTTTTCTCCCCTGTGTGTTTTCTGTAGACAGGTGCGTGTCCACAGCCTTTCTGACTATGGAGCCTCCCCCTTCCCTGAGCTTGGCTCTGCTAGGGGGGAGTGAGGATGAGGACCAGCGCTTCCTCCTTCCCCTAGGCAGCATATCCCATCCCTCCACGGCTGGCAACATGCCAGGCTCAAACCACTCCAACCACACAGGAGCTTCAAGTATCGATCGTCTGAATGGCAGCACCCCATCGCCATCCTCTACCACACCCAACTTGCCTCCGGCATCCCTCCCCAAGTTGCCGCTGTCCTCCCCTGGAGCTCAACCTCTTCCCCCGCCCATCCCTAATGCTCTGCACCCCACCAGTACTCCCCTTTCATCCTGTTTGGGTTCCCAGCACAGCCTAAGTGGAGACAACTCCCCTGTCTACAATGCCTTCTTTTACTCCTCCCACTCCCCCTCCATGGAGCGAGAGAGGGACAGAGACCGTGACAGGGAGAGAGACAGGGGCAGCAAACACAGACAGGCCAGTCCTCTTGTCCACCGCAGGGACAGCAACCCCTTCACGGAGATTGCCATGAGTTCTTGTAAGTACACAGGCGGGGTCATGAAGCCCCTAAGTCGGCTGAGCGCCTCCAGGAGAAACCTCATTGAATCAGACAGCAGCAGCGAAACCAAAGAGGGTGGCGTTTCGGTTGTTGCAGGGGCATCGGCTGCTGCCGGACATGACAGACAGCGAGAAGCCCCTCCGACCTACTCAGAGACCCAGTCATCAACTCATCCACCCCCCATCCAGAGCCCCCCAGAGATTGTGATCTCTTCTAAAGAAGACTCCCCGTACCCCAGAAGAGGTTATGACAACACTGACTCCATGTCCAACCAAATGTCCATCTACCACCAGAACCATGCGCTGGTGGAGAGCAGGCGGGGACAGTCTGAGCGGGGCAGCAGGCAGGTAGGGGTCACTGCAGCGGGCTCCGGGGCCAGAGGCAGCACCTCCAAGGCCCCTAAGAGAAAGAACCAAAACATTGGCTATAAGCTGGGTCATCGCAGGGCACTGTTCGAGAAGAGGAAGAGGCTGAGCGACTACGCCCTCATCTTCGGGATGTTTGGCATCGTGGTCATGGTGATTGAGACTGAGCTTTCGTGGGGGGTGTACAACAAGGTGAGGTTTGCCTAATCATTCCTCAAATAATGGTGTATTATCACCCGCGTTACTGCAAATAAAGTTAGGAATTTTTAATATCAAAACAAGTGTTAATGAAATAAAAAAGTTGTATATTTAGCAGGTAAAAGCAGGTTTTATTTTAACACATATTTTATTTTATTTTTTTATTCCTGAAACGGTTGATTTATTTTTAATGTATTGACTGACCTTCTGACTCATTAAAAAGAAAAAGTGGACCCTAAAACACAAACTCTAATTCAAGTGAGGAATTTAGCAGTTTTCTTGATTAACTCAAGTATTATTAATCAAGAGAAGAGCATGCTGAGTTGAACATCAGTCCTTGTTGAGGATAAAGTTGAGGATAAAGTAGAGTGCAGCTTATGAACAAGTTCATAAATTAAACAGTTGTACTTAATCCATTGGTAAAATATATGAACATTTATGGTAATGATAATATCTGGGACCGGCTACTGTCACCTTTCTTAAAACCAGAGTATTACCAGATGATGCATAAAGCTTTCATTTCTGTTTGCTGGGTTTCATGTTTTCATGGCCTTGAATGCTCTCTTGTCCAGAGTATATTGTTGAAGGACTATTGCTGGGTGGAAAAGTTCCTACTTCTGGCTCGCATGCATGTGAATTGAAACTCTTTCCTTCTGTGTGGTGGTAAACCCCCTTAAAGCCCCTGTCACACCTTGACGATTTAGACCAGCATGTGCCTGACGTACAAAAAATCTGGCAAAAACGCTGGAATATGTTAGATAAGTGATGGGTAAGTTTTGTGTAAGTTACTCATAAGTCTTGGTGTCTAGCTTATCCAAAACCTATGAGTAACTTGTGCCTAACTTATCAAGAACTTGCTTCGAACGTATATACTTGACCGCTGAATGTATCTCTAACTTACAGCTACTGTATAATGGCGTATTAGCAGCGTTTGGTATAAAACGGGTTCACAGAAGGAAACCATCAGTTCTCCTCCAGACTTCAAATTCAACATAGGTTGAGCGAGAAGGTTAGTGTGATGGATCCTCTCTGCGTTCACGCCCACGGCCATGACCAATAAACTTCTTAGCAGACATGATGCTGAATCTGCTACGACTGCAAACGTTGATTCGCGATAAAAGACATCTTTTTATGCAGACCGGGCTTCTCCGGGCGCATAGCTGATCCCCCTTTCGACACTTGCTTGTGCATAATTTCATGGACATTATGCTGCCACGCGTTATGCATCAGTTAGGCTGTCATTGGACATAAGTTCTGGACTCGTTATGACTATGCCATGTATACGGCCAAACTTAAAAATATACAAAGTTCAGCGTATGCCTGCATTTTAGAAGATTCTGGGACGTCGGGCATATGCAGTCTAAATCGACAAGGTGTGACAGGGCCATAAAGTATATTACTACCACCTGAAGACCTGGAGTGCAAGAATAACGTGTCTTACTCTCGTTAAAGGTAGCATGACCAATCCATGAGTGGTTCTGTGATTTTGGAAAGTTTTGATTTCCAAAATAGGATTTTCATTATGAAATGTATTGTTCCAGCCTTACCATAATTTTATATATATATATATATATATATATATATATATATATATATATATATATATATATATATATATATATATACTTTAAGCCTTTTTTCCAGATTAAAAAGTTGTCATATCTTATAGAGGTGCATTGATCAGAGTTTGGATTTATTGCTCATACTGATTACATTTAATCTTTAGTAACTATAATCAAAAGCATTACTCTTTTTATATGTCTAGTGGCTATAAGATGTTATAAGCTGATAAAGTTAGGAGAAGAGGTGATGTCTCTGTGTAGAAAAGCAGCCCATTGAAATCAGTTGTATTCATTATAAACAAAAACTTTTTTATCGGACACAATAAACTGCCTTTAGCCTCTCATTAGTAAGGAGAGCACACTGTAATCATAAGTCTCCTCAAGGACTTTTCTAAAGCAATTCCGAGTTTTTAAGTGGTGGTAGTGCATACTAAAAGTCTGTTCTTTGTCTTCCTATTGGGGGAAAACCCTGGCCCCAGCCCCAAATATCCAGAGGGGTCCAGTTTGCTAGGGAACAGCAGCTATTCAAAACAGTGTGAGGACCATGTGTTGAATGATCTTTTCAGGGTTTTTTTTATTCAGTCAAGTAGAAAACAGTCAAACATTTAAACGAATAAACTCAAAGAGCAGTAAATGTGGGATAACCGTCAGATGATCAGAAGCTTACTTTTTTTCCATGTCCATCTGTTTATTTTGGTAATAACTGTATTTTAACATTTTGTTGTCTCAAACAGAAACGACTCATAGATTTCCAAAAGGCTGCAGAAATGTCAAAATGTTGCATGTTGTGTAGCAGACAGATGTCTAAAGCTCAGTAGAGGTAAAATAGAGCAGTTTTGTTGGAATACATTCAGCATTCCTGGTAGCTGCTGAAATCAGCTCTCCTTCAGTTCACTGCCTCGCCGGTTTGACAAATTGTTGCCAGTGCCACTATGAATTAATGTTTTGTTGCAGATGACTCTTTTTTTTAATGGTATCTGGAAAAATAATCTGGTACAGAGTGACCAAAACTGGGGGAAAAAATGGTACCATAACTTGCTGATTTAGCAGCTTGAATAGAAACTAAAATTATGTTTCCTTTTAAAACCTTAATGCACCTAATTTTGCTTTCTCTCTTTTTTTTTTTTTAAAAGGTGCCTCTGAAATGGATTACCCGTTAGTGTTTTTTTTTTCAATAATAACTTCCAGAGCAAATTGAGTTGTGGTTTACAGTTTTCCTTATTTGAAGCAGATCACATTTTCAAGTTTCCAGCTGACCGACCTCTGGTCAAAAACACTCAAGGTGAAACTTAGTCGAATTTGTTGATGCATCTTAAAATCTCACTTGCTTTGGGTGGAAACGTTTTGCTGTTGTCTTTTTTAGCTCAAGTATGTCCCTCATCTTTCTAGCAGCATACATACATGAACTTGTAAATGCTCTTTAACATGAGAAGCAACAAGTCCAGAAATATCACACTGGAGTATTGCATCATGGTTCTAGCTGTTTGGTTTATTACAAAACTCTGGTTAGATTTTCCTGAACTGTTTATTTCTCTGTCCATTTTCCCTGTGTGTTATTGCTAACCTCAAAGGTCATTTTGTTGCTTCACTTTTTTGTAATTTTAGTCATTACCTAATTCAACTTATTCGGGACAAAAGCAGCTATCTGTCACATAAATGTGGTGCACGTTATATGTGACATTTGTGAATGTATTCGGTTAATTGTCTCCCTAATTCATGCAAAATACCTACTAGGCACTCTCTGCCAATTTGCTCCTAAGCTACGCTGCTCTGGCGCTGGCATTCAGTGCACAGGGAGGGGGGCTAGGCCCTGAGTGGCAGCTATTCACATGGACCTACATGCAGTCCAGCTTGTAAACAAGACACTGGAGAACAACACTGAAAAATGGACTGTGACATCGTACCATTTAAAAAGACGCCTTTAGTTTTTCACATCACTACTTTTACTTCTTTCTATGTAAAATAATAAAGCATTCCCTTATGCTCCTTTAATTAAACATTTTTGTTTTTTATTTAGTGGATATAGTTATTTTACTTAAATTATACACAGGTTCAGTGGGCGGATTTGATACAGTGTGTGTATAAATGGGAGCGTGAATTGACAAATAGGACTAACTGGGCTGGACCTGTTAGATTTTGTAATAAAGATCGGTTAAATGGCGGCAGTGGCACGGTGACGTTTCTGTCTAACAAGACAAGCTTTATGACTATATGTGTTTTTCGTTGCCATTTCTTTCTTTTCTTTTTTTTCATTTCCTGCTAGTGTCAATGGAATACATGCAGCAAAGGTCAATGCACCAGGACTGTGGCGGCCGGGTTTAAAGAACATCTAATCGGTGTAGAATATTCCAGCCTGACAAGGATTCATTATTAGATGACTAGGTCAACATCAATAAATTGAATGAAAGCATGTTCATTTCCCTTGCCACATTTGTAAGGAAAATAAATTTGTGGATTGATAAGCAGAGTATACCCTCTGCCAATACATGCCAAAGTGTTCTGCTTAATTTTGGATTCTAGTGTCTTTTTATGATTAAAATTTGAAGAAACATTCCAAATTTTAGCGGACAGATACCAAAGCAGTGGCATGTCTCTCCTCATGCTGGTCACACACGTTATTTCAGTGGTTACCCATTCCTGCTGCAGGATTTGTTGAAAGCTTTATCAGTGACTCCAGGAGGAATTGCCTGAACCCACAAATATTGAGTTCAAGACTGCAAGCAGGTCATTCCATCCTCTCAACTCCCATATCATGCAATATCTAATAAATGGTGCAATGTGTGTCTGTGGGGGGGTTGGGGGTGGTAGTATAAGCATTGGTTACTATTATATTATTATCTTACACTATATTTTATTTTGCTCTATAAATAATTTACCGCAAGGGATTCATAAAGTAATTCTGATTCTGATACTGGTCTTTGAAGATGATTTTATCACTGCTTGCAGCTCTGTACACACGTTATTGAGGGACTCTTATGCACTGCAATGGCCAAGCTCGACAGAAGCTGCTTCCGGGTGATATAATGCAACAACGCAAAGGACATACGGGGCAGATTATCAGTGGGAGGCCAGGAACTCATTTGTCTGTGTAATGGCCAGTGTAATAAGCTGAACCGGCCCCCTGGCTCTTTTTGTGTGTTTGTTTTGGGTGTGTATGTGTGCTACAGAACCTCCTACTGTCTTGTGCTCACCTCTCTGATATCCCGGTCCTCATCCCATCCTTCTTTTTGGCTCTGACACATCACAGAGGGCTGGTTCTCTTTATCTAATGAGGCAGAAACATTACTTCCTCAGCTTGTCACAGGAAGATCATAGATCATTTAAAAGAGTTGGTGGCATCATGTGTGCTCAGATTTACAGGTAGCTATTTACCCGCTGGGCGTGCCTCCCATCCTCTCAATGTGAGTGGCCTCCAGTTTATCATACTGGCCA